CCACCCCCACCCCACCCCCCACCGCCCATCCTCCTGGACCACCGATGTCCACCTCACGTCCCCTCCTGCAGGGTGTTCTGGAGATGTCACTGTCTCGGAGAAGATCTCTCGAGCCGCAAAGACAAGGGTCGCCCTGTTCTGTTTTTCAGGCTCCCAGCACTCATCACAAGGACATCTGAGGAAGTGCGTGAGTCACAGCGTGTGGCTCTCCCATGGGCCTGCTCCTCCAGAAAGTCGCTCAGGTGACAGCAGGAACCAGGCCGCCTGGGTGAACACTCACAAACCAAAATTCGTGGCCATAGGCGCTTATAGACTGAGCTGGGGAGCCTGTCTCAATCGGAGAGGCTGGAGGGGACAGGCCCACTGAAGAGCCCGTCAGGAAGGTCTCCGAGGCAGTGGCACCTGGACCCGAGGGAGACAGACCTGCGTTCAGTGCAGGCTCCACTCCTACCCCGTCATGACGTATAAGACCTCAAGAGGCTGCCCCTGCCCCACCTCAGTGTCGTCTGCTCGTATCTGTCTTGTCCTTTACACTGTTCACATGCCTCCATCCACCCGCCAAGCCAGCTCCCTCCTCAGGGCCTTGGTGGCCTCTTCCCACAGCCCGAGTGTTCTGCATCCAGTTTCTACACCCTGCCTCCTTACCATTCAGACTTCAGCTCCAGTTCCTGATGACTCCGTCTTACCACCGCCCCACTCCGTCACTTCCATCACATCCACCTGCTTTATTTCCCTACAATATTTTCAGTATCTGAAATGACTTTGTTCATTTGTTTGTTTTCCTGTTTGTCATTCTAACCTCTCGGGACACAAGCTGCATGATGTCAAGGACCTTGTTTGCCTGTTCACTGCTGTACCTTCAGTGCCAAACTAGAACCTGGAACACCATGGGTGCTTCCCAAGGGTTTGTTGAATGACTAAATGAAAGTTAACCCCTGCAGTATCTTTTTCCATCTACAAAATGGGTATAATCTGAGCTACTTCTTAGGAAATAATAATTGTACCTACCTCAAAGAGTGGATTAGAAGAGATATGTGCAGTACCTCCAAGGTAGTAAACACTCAACATATCGGAGCCTTTATCAGTATTTTAGATTGACATCCAGCCTAACATGGAGGGGGACCAGAGGGCAGATGTGGTGGTAACTGTTTCAGATCCCCAGAGGTGATTACAGAGGATGATTCAACCCTCCTGTACTTTCAGTTACCCAACCTTTACTACAAAAGGATGGAAGAAGTATGGTATTGTAACAGCCTGGAACTTGTACCAAGAGGTCTTGAAATTGAGTGTCTTGGAAATTTTCTGAGACTGTGTCCTCATCTGCAAAATGGAAATAATTATTCCTTATCAAAGCTTAAATGGTTATATGTAAATTATAATGCGTATTTCCCAAATTAGTATCCAGATTTTTGTCTTAAAGCAATTATTGATTAATTATATCATAGGAAATGGTATTGCTTGCAATTACTAGAAGGGAATATGCTTAAATTTTTTTTTCTGATTTTGAAAGTAATATATTGCAGAAAATTTGGAGGCTATAGAAAGTATGAAGACAAAAGTTTTAAAATCAGCCATAATCCCCCCTGCCTTTTGGTCCTCACCTTTATGCCATGGAATGAACAATGCAAATTTAAATGCACCAGCAAGAGGAACAGTGATGCCAGCAGGTCCATGAACTTGGGCATCCCAGCACATAGGTTTGCTTCCAGAAAAGCCATGTAAAGTAGCTGCCTGATGGAGTCTCGGGAATGACTAGGCGGAGGAGGAGGCCAGGAAGAGGGACTGGTCTTTTGAGGCTGTAGCCTGAGGAGGGCATTTGAGTATAGATTAAGAGGCCCTGATTTGGATTCAGAAATATATCCATGTCCTTAAAAGAAAAAAAAATTTTTTTACATTTCTAGGTAGTTTATGAAAATAAAACATTACTGAAAATATTTTTACATTTGAGATAATGCTGTCATTTAACACAGAATACCCTGGCTTTAAAAATATCACTGACCTTGTCATTCACTCAACTGAGCTGTTCCCTTCTTCCCTGCATTGGGGTTTTTTAAACCTCCCTTGGAGATTCTAATGGTGCTTCCCAGGTGACCAGTGGTAAAGAATCTGCCTGCCAATGCAGGAGATGCAAGAGTTGCAGGTTCAACACCTGGGTCAGGAAGATCCCCTTGCATAGGAAATGGCAACTTACTCTAGTGTTCTTGCCTGGAAAATTCCATGAACATAAGAGCCTGGCAGACTACAGTCCATGGCACAGAAAAGAGTTGGACATGACCGAGTGCCTGAACACACACACACACACACACACACACATACACACACACACAGATTCTAATATGGTCAGGACTGAGAAACATGACAACGTGTAATTTGTGTGTTATTGTGAACTGTATGAAATTTAAATAACTTGTGGGATCTTAGTTCCCCAACTAGGGAGTGCACCAGTGCCCCCTGCAATGTGAAGTCCTGACCACTGGGATGCCAGGGAAGTCCCAATAGTTTTTGATCATGGAGATATAGCATACCTCACTTAACTACCTCTTCAGTATTGGGCATGTCAGTATCTATTATATTTGCTTAAAAATTTTAAATAACACTTAAGGGGTCTTATAGATCCTTGAGCCAATGTTTATTCATATTTTCAGGTTTTTCTAAGGATGGATTCCAACAAAGGAAATTACTACCAAGTCAAAGGGAATTGTTTTAACTAATCTTTGGTTTGACACAGCCCTTCCCAAGAAAGGTTGTATACCAATTTACAGTCCCAATTTACACTACCAATATGATAATATTGTTTTTTTTCCTCATTTGATAGGTGGAAAATGTTATATTTTAATTTGCATTTCTTTGGTCTGAGATCTACCCTGATTCACTGAGCTTGAGCACAACCTCAGTTCCCTAAAGGAAGCCCAGGTGGCACAGTGGTAAAGACCCTACCTGCAATGCAGGAGACTTGCAGGACATTTCCAGGAGTCACAGGTTCAATCCCTTGGTCAGGAAGATCCCTTGGAGTAGGAGATGGCCATTGGCTCTAGTATTATTGCCTGGAAAACTTCCATGGACAGAGGAGCCTGGCAGGCTACAGTCCATGGGGTCACAAGGAGTCAGACACAACTGAGCATGCACACATCAATGTGTTGATGGCCTAAGTGGGCCTTTTACATATTAAGGATATTTATTTGCAATAGTTTGTCTGTGATAAATTACAGAAATATTTTTCCAACTTGTCATTAATCTCCCAGTTTTGTTCATATTCCTAAACTCTTCATGTTTATGTAGCCACAACTACTGATATTTTCTGTCATAATTTCTTCCACACCTTCCCTGCTGTTCAGACATTAGTTAGGTATTCATTCATATTCTCTTCTCCTGTATGTTTGGTTTTGTTATACACAATGCTTTAATCCTCTTGGGCTGTGTTTTGATGTACAGAAAGAAGGTGCGGTGCCACTTTAATTATTTTTCCCAAATAGCTAATTAAACTCTCCCAGTTTGATTTATGTAAATAAGCTTTCCTTTCCCGTCTGAATTCATGACTGCCCTAACTCTGGGCTGTAAAGCACGGGGTTAAGTGTGTGGGCTCCAGCGCCAGGCGGCCTGAGTTTGCATCTAGCTTACTAATCACGTCTCCTTGGACAGCTTACTGCACATCCCGGCGCTTCGGGTTCCTCCGCTCTGCCGCGGGTGTACCGTTCACAGCCCTGCGTCAAAGGGTTGTTGCACTTGTGACGATCTTTCATCATGTTTGTAATGTTTTCCCGGGTCCGGGTGTCAGGTGTTTTGTCATTCCGCTCTTTTAGATGTTCTAATAATTACAATAGAAAAGTCCTCCAGTGTCCCTCCTGTTATACTCACAATTTTCTTAGCTCCCGTCACCTATTTCATTTTTGGAAATAAATGATCTGCCTTGTATGTATTAAGCCTGGTCTTCCAATGATTACATCTCAAGGGAGTTTGGGGGAAAGGCACTGCTTGATTGGGCTGGAGGAAGGAGGCCTAGCCGAGGTCTGGTGGTTAGGAGAGCAGAGCCCTGAGGGGCTTGGAGGGCGGTGGGAAGAGGAAAGACAGGCAGCGAAGAAGAGACGGAGGATGAGACCAAAAGGCAAAGGGCAGATAGAGCAGGGCTAACGAGGCGGGCCGGGCTCGGACCCGAGCTTGGAGGTGTGAGAAGGTTCCGGGCATCCTGCGGTTTCTCCTGGTAAGCCGAAAGGTCCTCAACCTCTGCACTTCCGGGTCAGAGGGCCTCAACCTCTGCACTTCCGGGTCAGAGGGCCTCAACCTCTGCACTTCCGGGTGTGGGCTGAAGACTGTGACCAAATCAATCGTCACACCAACCTGAAGAGGAAGACCGGTTGGATTTCAGAGCACGAAGACCAGTCTGGAATGACCATGGGTGTTGGAGCCCATGGTGGGGACTGCACAGGTTGGCAGGGTCCAGATGTAGCTACAGAAGCATAAAGGTGTGAGTTGAGGCTGCTCTGCAACAGCAGGGGGTATAGCTCAGGGGTAGAGCATTTGACTGCAGATCAAGAGGTCCCCGGTTCAAATCCGGGTGCCCCCTTCTGGTGTTCCATTTTGGAGTTTCCAAAGAATGTCATAGTCGACCTTCCTTGGGTCCATGTAACTCTCCCTGTAGTTCAAGCAACCCCTCCACCCTGAAAACAACACCCACCAACTCTTTTCCATCAGAAGACAGATTCCTTCCTGTCTCTGCATTGTCCTTTCATCCCCACAGGAGACCTGAAAGATCAGGATTTGGGGATGACAGGCAAACCAATCCGTTCAGCCCACCAGCCAGGTTGGTTTTGCCAAGGCCAAGGTCTACACCAGCGCTCCCTCCAGAAACAGAATGTAAGCTACATATCTGAATTTACATTTACTAGAAGCCACCTTAAATATTTAAAGTAAAAAAGGGAAGATGGGTGAAGGGGGTCAAAAGGTACAGATTTAGATAAATAAGTCCTGTGGTTTGATGTACAGCCTGGTGACTGTAGTCACTATGTTAACTATTTTATTGTATATTTGAAAGTTGCTAAGAGAGTAGATCTTGAAAGTTCTCATCACAAGGAGGGAAATTAACTATGTGAGGTGACTGATGTTAATTAGACTTATTGTGGTGATCATTTGTCAGTATATACATGTATCAAATCATGTTGTACACCTTTGACATGACATTGTATGTCAATTACATCTCATTAAAACTGGGGGAAATGTTTTCATAAAAATAAAGTAAAACAGCATCAGCAAAACGAATTTCCTTTTGTGGAGGGGACATGCTCTGCAACTTGTGAGATCTTCATTCCCCAACCAGGGAGCAAACCTCTGCACTCTGAAAGTGCGGAGTCCTAATCACTGGGCCACCAAGGCACGCCCCAGACCTCCACATTTTAAAATGCAGTATATCCAAAACATTATCGTTTCAGCATATGGCCAATATAAAAATTTATAAATGAGGTAAATCTTTGAAATCTGGCTGCAGTGTCCTCTTAAGGTACCTGCTCATCTGGACCAGCCACCTGTGGACTGGGGACAGCTCTGCAGCATGGGAAACCTCACTGGCTTCTTGCAGTTTTCAAGGAAATGGGGAGCCGGGTGCTGGTCAGGGTCCCAGGACGCTCCTCTTGCTCCCCAGGGTGTGATGGATGGAAAGTGCCCCAGGGAGGAGCCATTGCCCCACCTTCCTCATCATCACAAGGGAAGCTAGCCAGGAGCAGGGAGGGCTGCTCCGCACAGGACAGATGTAAGACTGGGGTCCAAGGCAGCTCTGGGGAGACAGAGGAGACCCACAGGTTTCCAAGTCCCTGGACAGCCTCTTTCAATTGTCTTTTTTCTGCAGACCAAGTATGTTTAATGAAAGTACTTCTGATTCAGGTGCTGGAGTAACTGGTAAGTTCAGAGCAAAGTAGGCTAATTGAAAAGTACTCTCAGAGACTTCCCTGGTAGTCCTATGGTTAAGATACTGTGCTCCCAATGTGTGGGTCACAGGTTCAATCCTTGGTTGGGGAGTTATAACCAGGCATGCTACATGGTGTATAGTCAAAACACAAAAGAAAAAAATTTTAAATTTAAGAAGCACTTTTAAAAGTACCCAGTTGCAATTTTCTTATATTGCAATATATACACATTTTAGCCACAAAATTTTCACAGTTCTTGTCTTTTTGCTTCCCTTCAAAGTACATTTCTTTAATTTTTTAAATTAATGGCCACATCATGTGGCATGTGGGATCTTATTTCCCAAACCAGGGGTTGAAACTTTGTCCCCTGCATTGGAAGCACAGAGAGTCTTAACCACTGAAGAGCCAGGCAAGTCCCTCAAAGTACATTTCTTCCACAGAAATATTTGTAATACAAAGCTCTTGAAATGAGTATGATTCTCCAGAATATTTCACCAAATTTAGATGTTGTAAAGTTCCAAGCTTTGAAAATTTTATTCCCTTCAGGTACAGAATGTAAATTTATTCAATTGAAATGAAGAACTTCAGCCAAAGATTCTTTTGAGACTTTGCAAGCGCTATTTTAGAAATTTAGAATTAAATCTTATATACCATGTGAACTTTCATTGTTTAATGTGTTCAGTTTCTCTCTTGCTTTTGCAAGAATACTTTTCAATGTCTTTCTGTTTGCAAATTTTATTTTCATTTATTGCAACTCTCTAAAGGTTTCAAAAGCTGAAGTTTGGGGGCACACCATTTGTTGAAAACTTTGATTAAAGACTTCCAACAGGTTTGTGTAACTGTAATATGTTAGTTGCCTAGTCGTGTCTGACTCTTTGGGACCCCATGGACTGTAGCCCACCAGGTTCCTCTGTCCATGGGATTCTCCAGATAGGAATACTAGAGTGGGTAGCCATTCCCTTCTCCAGGGGATCTTCCTGACCCAAGGATCAAACTTGGATCTCCTGCATCACAGGCAGATTCTTTACCATCTGAGCCACCAGTGAAGGTTTGTGCAAAACACAACAATTCTGGGTGCATATATTTGCAAAAAAAAAAAAAAGTTTAATACCAATACCATTGCGGGACACTTGGGTTAATTCACAAAGTAGTTCTTCAAAGGCTCAGACATTTCTAAATTCTTAGTGTTATTGGGGACGGATGTGTCTAAGATACTGACTGTGTAGGATACCTACAATACAGGTCTGTTCAGTAGCTATTTGTACTTTCTTAAACATACTGCTGGGTTTCTCAGGTGGCACTAATGGTAAAGAACCCACTTGCTGTGCAGGAGACATAAGAGATTCAGGTTTAAGTTTGATCCCTGGGTTGGGAAGATCCCTTGGAGGAGGAAATGGCAACCCACTCCAGTATCTTTGCCTGGAGAATCCCATGGAAAGAGGAGACTATTGTGCTACAGTTCATGGGGTCACAGAGTCAGACACCACTGAAGTGACTTAGCACGAACACCCACATGCAGCCATCATGAAATCTTTTCTTGTATTAAATCAGCCGTGTCACTAAAACAATTTAGCTTTTTTAAAACTTAAAAACAATTCAGCTTTTATATGAATTGGTAGACTATCACAGCCCATTTAGATCCACTTGTGAATTATGTGTGCATCACCGTGCCCACAACATTTCTATTTCATTTGCTTAGAACTTACTGAAAGCATCCCTGCTAAGAACATTGTTTACATTAAAATCTTGGGCTTCAAAACTTGCATTTTTGTATTATTATAGCAAGAACAAAGTTCTATCTTCTATTGAATTCACTCCCCCCCTTTATTTTGTTTTTTCCTGACGGACCAGGGATTGAACCTGGGCCCCTAGCATTGGTGGGGAGCAGTCTTAACCACTAGACCACCAAGGAAGTCCTGCTGAACTCTTAAGTGGAGTTTGTAACAGCCTTCACAATGTCAGGTGTTTCACCATGGACAGAATGAACTTCCGAAGCTTCACTTTGATTCCATGAACTGGATGCTGGGACAACAGACCCAAAAGCAGGACTGTCCCCAGGGACAGACTTAAGCGGCCCCATCTAACAAGACTGATGTAGTTCTTCAGCTTACCAGCTCGTGTTCCCTGGGATGCGGGTGCTCCTCAGAAGGGCTCCTCTCGCTGGCTGATGGAGAGGTTGGAAGAGGGGTGGGATTCATGAAAGAGAGGGAGGCTTGACAAGATTCTGGAGCAGAAGTCAAGTCTGGGGCCTGGTCCTGACACTGTGGGCAGCCTGAACCTACCCGGGCGTGAAAGGGACAACAGACTAGTGCTTCTCGGTGGTTCGAGTTTCCCTGCGATTCTTTCAAAGTTTCTATTCATATTTTAATAACAGTCTTAACTCTCTCCATATAGGCACACGGTGGCTGGTTTGCAGGGCCATTTTATAATCAGAGTCCAGTGTGATGCATGTACTCAAGTTTCTGATCATGTCGTCAACATGCGCTAAGTGGCTCAGTCGTGTCCGACTCTCTGTGGCCCCATGGACTGTAGCCCCCAGGCCCCTCTGACCATGGGATTCTCCAGGCAAGAACACTGGAGTGGGCTGCCGTGCCCTGTACCATGCTGTGCTGTATCACTGATGGATGACCGAAGATCAGAGGCCGACTTTGAAAGCAGCTGTTGTGCCCCTTCCCTCTTTGCCCATTTCTGTCCCCCTCTAGCTTTTTTTTTTAAGAATTATTTATTTTTTTGCCCACAGCATGCAGAATCTTGGTTGCTGACCAGGAATTGAACCTGTGTCCCCTGAAATGGGCACATGATTCTTAACCACTGGACCACCAGGGAAGTCCCTGACTGCTTAACCTTGAAAGAACCTCCTCGTTGGAATGAGATCACGAGGCAGTTGAACCTAGCTCCTGACTTGTGTTCATGCCTTGCCTAACCTGTCGATTCTTTTCCTAGATTAAAAGAAGAATTAAAAGACGACTAGTCTTCCACCCCCACGACTCCTTTAGCAATCCTGCAGGCAGATCAGACGGGCAGGATAACACCTGGAGAGAGAGTTACACACGACGGAGAAGAACACGCAACCCAACCTCCTGCCTCCATGATTCACTGAGCTTCTTCCCACTTTTCCCCTTTACGAACTGTCAGGGCTGAGCAGACAGTTTGGAGCTGGTCTCTAGACATGAGTCCACCTTCTCATGAATCCACCAGACTGCCAGCTTTTCTGATTAAAACATACTTCCTTTCTACTTGCCTCTTGATAATTGACTTTTGAGCAGTGAGCAGCCAACCCTGAGTTTGGTAACAGCTTTTAGCCTATGAGAAATGAGCCTTGAGAGTCAGAGGGCATGTTAATAGAGGCAGTTAGCAGAGGAGCTGGGGGGCCCCTGGGTCTCTAGGCATGAGCAGCTTCACAAGCACATTGCAAAGAGCCTCTTCTAGCAAAATGATTTCATCTGCTATTCAAATTGCTGTTAACTTGAGTGTTACTGGGTTTGTGATTTTGTTTGTATTGATCTTCTAAAATTGTTTTGTCTTAAAAGTGTATAAAACTGTGAGTGTGAAGCATTTATATCTAGTTGTGTGTACACATGTATGTACAGATATAAGCAGTACAATAAACGAAAATTAAGCTAACCCTGAGGTACTAAGAGAAAATGTTCCCTTTCACAGGTGTACATGCAACAAGAAACCAGTAAAATGGTTATGTGGTGGCTGGAAGACTGGGATGGAATGGAGTCTTGATTCTTCTCTGGATGCTATTTTGTACATTTTATTTTTTATTCATTATTATTTGGCTGTGTGGCATGCAGGATCTTAGTTCCCCATCCAGGGATCAAACCCATGCCCTCTGTAGTGGAAACATGGAGTCTTACCCACTGGGCTGTCAGGGAATCTCCTATTTCATACATTTTCAATTCTGTGCCATGTGAAAGTGTTACTTGTAAAGAAGGTAATTCATTCAGAAATTTAGGAAACTTCAGTTCAAGCAATCTGACTTCCAGAAGCCTCTGGTGAGTTGTTTCAAGGCACTGGTTAGGTCTGTTCCCCAAAACTCTGTTATAACATGGGGAGTGTTTGCTGGGTTCACAGGGCAAGGAGGAGGCTCAGCCCCGAAGCACCAAGGCCCTGAAATTCACCTCCAGGGCAGCTGAGCTGAGGCAGGATATAGTGGTGGTCCTTAACCTCTTAACTCTGTTACTCAGAAAAAGTGAAAGACACGCTCAGTTGTGTCCGACTGTTTGCAACCCCGTGGACTATACAGTCCCTGGAATTCTCCAGGCCAGAATACGGGAGTGGGTAGCCTTTCCCTTCTCCAGGGGATCTTCCCAACCCAGGGATGGAACCCAGGTCTCCCTCACTGCAGGCGGATTCTTTACCAGCTGATCTTAAGCTTTGTGATTTGGGGCGTGTGTGTGTAGCTGCTTTCATGTCCCAGTCTTTGTGACCCTGTGGACTGTAGCCCGCGGGCTCCTCTGTCCATGGGATTCTCCAGACAAGTTGCTTCGGTTCTTTGTGTCATTGTTACCTATAAAGAAGATGGTGGTGGAGATAGCACTCACTACCACAATAATTTTTTAAATTATATACAGTAAAAAAATAAAAAATTATATACAATGTATGAAAATTTAGAACAGTTTATCTAGCACATTATAAATGCTCAGTAAACATCAGGTCTTAAAATTATTATGTCTGTCACAGGTGTCTCACCAAAGTGAGAAGTTCTGGGGAGAGAAGCTAAGTTTCCCAGTAGGGGGTATAGCTCAGGGGCAGAGCATTTGACTGCAGATCAAGAGGTCCCCGGTTCAAATCCGGGTGCCCCCTATAGTTATCCCAAATTTCCCTTTGCTGGACCCTGTTGTAGCAGCAAGGCTGAGAAAGATTTCCTTCATTATTGCCTGGAATTATTCACCCCCGCAGCCCCACCCTTCATCCTTACTTGGGACGGCTGGTTTGAGTCCTAGAAAGAGAAATGTTCCCAGGTAAGCAATGCCATGATTTACACAAAATTAAATTAGATGAGAAAAGTAAGATACAACAGCACAGGATTGTTATGCTATCATTTGTGTTTATAAATGCAAGGAGAGAGTGCATTCCTTACTGACATGTGCAGACTATCTGGAAGAGAATATAAAAAACTGTTAACACAGGTTCCCCAGGGGTGCTTGTAGAGAATCTTGTTAGATGAGAGAGGGAGAATTTTCACTGCATACTTTTTTTCTTCATTTTAATCTTTAAATGTATTCTTAAGATTTTTTTTTTCAGTTTCACGTTCTCAGCAAAATTGAGAAGAATGTACAGAGATTTCCCACATATCCCCTGCCCCTACATATGGATAACCTCTCGCATCATCAACATCCCCCACCAGAACAGGACATTTGTTACAGTGGATGAACACAGTGACACATAGTCACCAAGCCCACCGTTTACATCAGGGTTCACTCTTGGTGGTGTACATTCTGTGGGTTTGGACAGACGTATCCATCATTGTGGGCTTCCCAGGTGGCACAGTGGTAAAGAATCCGCCTGCCAATGCAGGAGATTCAAGAGATTTGGGTTTGATCCCTGGGTTGGGGAGAGCTCCTGGAGAAGGAAATGGCAGCCTACTCCAGTGTTCTTGCCTGGAGAATCCCATGGACAGAGGAGCCTGGGGCCTACAGTCCATGGGGTCGCAGAGTCAGACAGGACTGAGCCCTCTGAGAACACACTCACAGGCATCATTACACTATAACACAGTGTTTTCACTGCCCTGAAAATCCTCTGTGCTCCACCTGTATATCTCTCTATCCTGCAAATCCCTGGCAACTGCTCATCTTTTTACTGTCTCCACAGTTTTGCCTTTTCCTGAATGTTGTACAGTATTACTGTGGCCTTTCAGATGGGCTTCCTTTACTTAGTAATATGCATGAAAGTTCCCTCCAGGTCTTTCCTTGGCTTGAGAACTCATTTCTTTTTTAGTGTTGAAGGCTATTCCATTGTCCTATGGACCACAATTCATTTATCCATTCAATAAGGACTTTTTAACTACTGAAAGACTTTTGGTTGCTTCCAGCTGCATGCATTTTCATATATTTTGAACATTATAGCATATGAATTCTGTGAGTTCATATTTATCTTTTTAAGATACAATTTAATATTTTAAAATAATCAAATTAAATGAGATGTCACCCAGTAAGATTGGTGAGGAACCCAGCATGGGTAGTTTGAACATCCTCCCCCTTTCTGATGCGTTTTGCCAGAATCCAGAGTCTGTGCAGAGGTCTACTCCGAGCCCAGGTGTGCTCATTTTGAGTCAAGCAGTACCTCCAGGGCCACACTCCTTCAGGGCCGAGCCCAGGACCTTTGCCAGGGCCCTTCCTGGTTCTACAGGAATTCTTCCTAAAGACTCTGTGTGCTGTCGGAAGTCAGCCTCCTCCAATGGTCCCTTCCCATCTTGGGAGGCTCCAACCAGCCGATCTCCAGTGAGTCCCACCTCCCTGCACTGTGCATCAAGCTTTTGAGCCTTTCCACCTTGCACACAAATCACTCTCCACAACTGGCCTTGATTTCTATTTAAAGTCTTCACTTCGGAATTTCCCCAGTGGTCCAGTGGTTAAGACTCTACCCTTCCAATGCAGGGGCAGGGGGTTCAATCCCTGGTGGGGAGAGTAAGATCCTATATGTGTCGTGGCTTAAAAATATTTAAGAAAAAAAATTTTTTTTGGTAAAAGGATTTAAAGACTTTCCCGGGGCAACCCACCCAGTCTGGCAATTTCATTTGGTCTGCTCACACACGAACACACATACACATAGGTTCACACTCACAACAATACAAGGAAATGCTCAAAGACTACTGGAGCCCTCTCTGTCAGATCTGGAGATGGCTAAGGAGTCAATTCAGTATTCTGAAAACTCATAAATTAAAGGGAAGAATCAAGCGTTTGTTCTACCTCTTCTATATGAACTATATTTCAACAGAACTAATGAGTTAATTAAAAAAAAAGTCTTCCTTACAAAAGAATTTAAGCTAATAAAGGTAGAGGATTTGAATAGAACCATTCACAACTCCTAAGGAGGTGATGGTCATAAGCCAGTATCCCCAAAGCCTGCCAAAATGATGAGATAAATGTTTGATGGGGGAATTTAAAATGAGGTTAACAACACTTCAACACACCAGTTAATCTTTTTCTTTAAGAGTTTTTGGGTTTGTGGGGCGGGGGGAGGGTTATTCCCCTAAGATTCCCCTCGGGATCTTAGCTCCCCTTGAACAAGTCACTGTGGTTTCTGGCTCCTGGGCAGCCTCAGTGGTATCACCAGCAGCACAGGTGAGGGCACAGGTGGGTGACACCTGGGGGAACTTCAGCACCGCTGCTGTAGGCCAGGTGGGCCCTGGCCTCAAGGGTTCCCCCCAAGGCTCATCTCACCCAGAGATTGGGGGGAGGTGCTTACCTCCAACTTCTAGAATGCCCCACTTTTCTTTATATTCAGGATGATGATACCCCTAAAACTTGAAGATAATATCACCCCTGGAAAAGCAAAGTAGAGCCAGCAGGCAGTGCTGGGACTGGCCGTCAGCAGGGCTGCCCCCAGAGGTCTGTCTATAAGAAGGGGGCCCAGAGTAACTTTTACAGACTGGGTTTGTCACGAACAGTAACCTTTGTCTTGATCAGCGGGTATCACAACCTGACGGCCCAACTCCCAGTCTGGCAATTTCATTTGGTCTGCTCACACACGAACACACATACACATAGGTTCACACTCACAACAATACAAGGAAATGCTCAAAGACTACTGGAGCCCTCTCTGTCAGATCTGGAGATGGCTAAGGAGTCAATTCAGTATTCTGAAAACTCATAAATTAAAGGGAAGAATCAAGCGTTTGTTCTACCTCTTCTATATGAACTATATTTCAACAGAACTAATGAGTTAATTAAAAAAAAAGTCTTCCTTACAAAAGAATTTAAGCTAGTAAAGGTAGAGGATTTGAATAGAACCAATCACAACTCCTAAGGAGGTGATGGTCATAAGCCAGTATCCCCAAAGCCTGCCAAAATGATGAGATAAATGTTTGATGGGGGAATTTAAAATGAGGTTAACAACACTTCAACACACCAGTTAATCTTTTTCTTTAAGAGTTTTTGGGTTTGTGGGGCGGGGGGAGGGTTATTCCCCTAAGATTCCCCTCGGGATCTTAGCTCCCCTTGAACAAGTCACTGTGGTTTCTGGCTCCTGGGCAGCCTCAGTGGTATCACCAGCAGCACAGGTGAGGGCACAGGTGGGTGACACCTGGGGGAACTTCAGCACCGCTGCTGTAGGCCAGGTGGGCCCTGGCCTCAAGGGTTCCCCCCAAGGCTCATCTCACCCAGAGATTGGGGGGAGGTGCTTACCTCCAACTTCTAGAATGCCCCACTTTTCTTTATATTCAGGATGATGATACCCCTAAAACTTGAAGATAATATCACCCCTGGAAAAGCAAAGTAGAGCCAGCAGGCAGTGCTGGGACTGGCCGTCAGCAGGGCTGCCCCCAGAGGTCTGTCTATAAGAAGGGGGCCCAGAGTAACTTTTACAGACTGGGTTTGTCACGAACAGTAACCTTTGTCTTGATCAGCGGGTATCACAACCTGACGGCCCAACGCAGTGGG